GAAAAGAGAAAAGAGAAAAGAGAAAAGAGAAAGGAGAAAGGAGAAAGGAGAAAGGAGAAAGGAGAAAGAAAGAAAGGAGAAAAGAGAAAGGAGAAAGGAGAAAAGAGAAAAGAGAAAAGAGAAAAGAGAAAAGAGAAAGGAGAAAGGAGAAAGGAGAAAAGAGAAAGGAGAAAGGAGAAAAGAGAAAAGAGAAAAGAGAAAGGAGAAAGGAGAAAGGAGAAAGGAGAAAGGAGAAAGGAGAAAAGAGAAAAGAGAAAAGAGAAAAGAGAAAGGAAAGGGGAAGGAGAAGGAGAAGGAGAAGGAGAAAGAAAAAATGGGTCCATCCCATCAATGGAGAAGGAAACGGCTAAAAATAAATAAACCGTGTGGTACCTAAATAGAAAGTTCTGCAGAATTTAAGAGGAAGATCAAAGGGTTGTTTTAGGAGTGAAAGAGGAACAATAAAAATGGATAAGGGAAGGACTGTGGTTAGGGAGAAAATTGTGTTTGGAGAAAATGAGGGTACAGGTTGTCCTTGACTTAAAACAGTTCATTTAGTGGCCTTTTGAAGTTACAGCATCACTGAAAAAAGTGACATGACCGTTTTTCACACTTATGACCGTTGCAGCATCCCCCACTGTCACATCATCAAAATTCAGATACTTGGAACTAAATACCCAGACAACACAATGTTTATTAAGCACTAAGAAATGTATTTAGTAGTAAAGTAATAAAATTTATATTTTAAAAAATTCAGATACTTGGCACATTTATGATGGTTACAGTGCCCCAGGGTCACAAAGAAAGAAAGAAAGAAAGAAAGAAAGAAAGAAAGAAAGAAAGAAAGAAAGAAAGAAAGAAAGAAAGAAAGAAAGAAAGAAAGAAAGGAGGGAGGAAGGGAGGGAGGGAGGAAGGGAGGAAGGGAGGAAGGGAGGAAGGGAGGAAGGAGAAAGAAAGAGAAAGAAAGAAAGGAAGGAAGGAAGGAAGGAAGGAAGGAAGGAAGGAAGGAAGAAAGAAAGAAAGAAAGAAAGAAAGAAAGTAAGTAAGTAAGTAAGTTTAGGCTCTTATTTTATAAATGATTCACAAGCTGTAATCCTGGGGCTGATGAACTGTCCATTTGTGAGATCATTCTAATCTTCTGGGGAAAGTCAGAAAAAAACAAGTGTGAAATTATAATTACACTTTGCAGTTCTCCGCAAAGAGATTTGCGCAGGTGGAAAAAAAAACAGATTGTCCACCGTGCTTCGGGTCAAAACACCAGCATTGCTTTGCCGTGGTTATTTGTCTCTGTTGAAGCATCAAGACGTTTGCAGAAACCGATAAAGAATACAAAGCGGGGTTTCCTCTCTGAGCAAATGTCTAGGACTGATGATGTTACCTAGTTTGGTAAAGAAATGTCTGCGAGAAATCCCTCCAGCTCAGAAAGCACCAAGGAACCCACATTTATTTCTTTCCAGAATTGAAAGGGGTTCAGATTAGGTCGATGCTCTGGGGAATCAAAATCCATGTGGTCTCATTCGGATCACTCGGAGCTCTTCCAGCCGATGCCAAGGGGTTCAGGGTTTACCTGGGCATCTGAGGTGGTGCGAACCTGGCATCAAGGTGAAGGTGATGGGGAGCTGTCCCTTCAGCACCAGAGAGTTTCTCTAGGCAAGGTAACCAACCACTGGTGTCCGTGTACTTTGGGTTTGCCAGTTGCCCCACAATGAGAATGCCTAGTTTTTTCTTCAGTAAGGCCAAAGGCTTTGAAAGAAGACAATAAATTTTGTAAATAAAAACGGCGAATGTTCACAAATACTACTAGGTGCAAATAGAAATAAGCAAATACAGCGGTTTTCCTGACCGCGGAGTCACATGTTTTCTTCCCCGGGCACCAAAAAGGCTCGATTTTTAAAAACTAGAAGCAACACCATTTTTAAGGATGGAATTCCACCCCGAATCGCATCCTGGCATCCGTTTTTGCATTTGGGTTCAAGAAAAATTTGGCTTCCTGGGAAGGGGTTTTCCTGACCGCGGAGTCATGCGTTTTCTTCCCCGGGCACCAAAAAGGCTCGATTTTTAAAAACTAGAAGCAACGCCATTTTAAAGCATGGAATTCCACCCCAAATTTCCTCCTGGCATCCGTTTTTGCATTTGGGTTCAAAAGAAATTTGTATTTTATCATACAATTTGTGCTTGTGATGGAGGGGGGAAAGAAATGAAACTTTGATCATGGTTTTGTTGATTAGAAAGTTTTGGTGTTGTAGAAATGGCGAGTTATATATTAATGTGTAAAAGCAAAAAGTGGAGGTTGGCTTATGTTGTACTGTGCCAGGAAGAGTTGGAAGTCAATTTTATTTCTTTTTCTCTTCTCCCTCGTATTTCACACACCCCCTTTCCCCATTCCCTTTCCTTCCCTTAATATTTCCTGTTTTCTTTTCTTTTTTCTTTTGTATTTTATACTTAGTCAAGAGGAAAAACAACCAGGTGCTTTTCCTGAGCTCACCTACTTTATTCCACTTAAAGGAATAAAGTGCAAGGAGAGATTTCCCACCCACCAACCCACCCCCGCCGCCCCTTCAAGGGACAGGGGAAAAAAAGATGATTTGTAGGCAGAGAGCACAAAATGGCTGTATTTCAGGAAGATCTCCATCTGAGATGGTTGAGCAAGGAAGAAGGGAAGGATGTGTCTACAGCATACCAATCTGGGGCGTGGCAGAGAAGTAACTATATCAGTGGTGAAATCCATTTTTTTTTACTACCCGTTCTGTAGGCGTGGCTTGGTGGGCGTGGCAGGATACTGCAAAATCCCCATTCCCTCCCCACTCCTGGGAGAAAGATATTGCAAAAACTCCATTCCCACCCCACTCTGGTTTTGAACTGCTCAAAATTTCCGCTACCGGTTCTCCGGACTGCTCAAATTTTCCGCTACCGGTTCTCCAGAACCTGTCAGAACCTGCTGGATTTCACCCCTGATCTATATGTGTGCTTAGGGCATTCAAGGAAGGTGTTTCCATCTGTGCAGTGACCGGAGGAGAGTCACAACTGAGGGCTGTGTGTTTATATACACCCTCACACACATAGGACATGCCAAAGTGAATGGCATCCTGTCTCCTGAAGACAAAGAAATAAGATAGACAAGATAGATAGGGTAACCTTTATTATTGCTTTTCCTGACACACATTAAACACAAGCGCATCTTTTTTGTGAGGCTTTGGACACAGCACGCTGTGAAGGGGGTGTCTGAGTATGTGGGGGTTATTTGTCTGTGCATCCAATCGTTGCAACCGAGTGAGCTGTGGCAGGGCGAGATGATCTCTGCGGTGCAAAGTCGGAGGTCTCCATGACCGAGTGAGAAATTATTATTTGCTGGGTGGGGAGGCAAAATTGGAGGGCTGAGTGCAGATCGTGAGCGGCTCAGGGCGGTGTGGTGTGCCCCTCGCACGTGTGAAGAGCGTTTGCTGTGCTTCAGTGAGTGTGGAAGGAATAGGAGGGAGCCCAGTGGTTTTGCTGAAGGCATCTTCCAGCCCACCGAGCCTCCTAAGTCCTCTCGGTTACCAGATCCATCTCTGCTGCTCCAGGTAAGTTCATTTCTTTCTAAGGAAAGAGATTCAGGAGACAGGCAGGCAGCTGAGTGTTTTATTCCTATGATTTGGAAATAAAGGATTAGAAGTTGCAAAGAGGCTGTCCTACAGCTGCAGGTGGAGAATATTCCAATAGTTGGATCCTGCCCTCCTTCTCAAGAAATTCAACCCTTCCCCACCTCCTGTTCCTAGCAGTCATAGGAAGAGAAGAGAAGAGAAGGGAAGGGAAGGGAAGGGAAGGGAAGGGAAGGGAAGGGAAGGGAGAAGGGAAGGGAAGAGAAGAGAAGAGAAGAGAAGAGAAGAGAAGAGAAGAGAAGAGAAGAGATGAGAAGAGAGAGAAGAGAAGAGAAGAGAAGAGAAGAGAAGAGAAGAGAAGAGAAGAGAAGAGAAGAGAAGGACTTTGTATAAAAAGAACACTGCTTGGGGGCAAAAGCCCTAATAAGCAGGTATATACAAAAGTATGAAGGCTATTGCTTAACGCATTGTAAAGTGCCCTGAGTCTCCGGAGAAGGGCGGCATATAAATCGAACCAATAAAGAAAGAGAAGAGAAGAGAGAGAGAAAGAGAAGGAAGGAAGGGAAGGGAAGGGAAGGGAAGGGAAGAGGAAGGAAGGAAGGAAGGAAGGAAGGAAGGTAGGGAAGGAAGGAAGGAAGGAAGGAAGGAAGGAAGGAAGGAAGGAAGGAAGGAAGGAAGGAAGGAAGGAAGGACTTTAGGCTCTTATTTTATAAATGATTCACAAGTTGCAATGCTGGGGCATCTGAACTGTCCATTTGTGAGATCACTCTGTGCTTCTGGGGAAAGTCAGAAAAAAAGAAGTGTGAAATTATAATTACACTTTGCAAGGGAGGGGGAGAGAAAGAGGAAGGAAGGGAAAAGGGAAGAAAGAAAGATCTCTTAGAGGAAGGAAGGGAGGGAGGGAGAAAAACAGGAAGGAAGGAGGAATAGGAGACAGAAGGAGGGAAGGAGGGAGGAGATGGGACAAAGGAAGGGAGGGAGGGAGGGAGGGGGGGGGGAGGGAAGGAAGGAAGGAAGGAAGGAAGGAAGGAAGGAAAGGAAGGAAGGAAGGAAGGAAGGAAGGAAGGAAGGAAGGAAAGAAAACAGAGTAGGAAAGGACTTTGGAGATCTTCTAGTCTAATCTCCTGCTCTGGCAGGAAACCCTATCATTTCAGACAAATAATTGTCCAATTTCTTCTTAAAAACCTCCGGTGTTGGAGAACTCACAACTTCTGGGGCCAAGTCCTTCCACTGTTTATTTCTGGAGTCTTTATGGGGGAAGTTTTGCTTCACTTTCTTAGCTGACATCCTACCTTTTCCTTTAAAAAAAAAATGTCCTTGTGGGCATAATCTCTCCCTTTTTCTCGAAATCTCTGCTCTTCTCCCTCAAACCCAAGTAGCTCCTTCTCAGCTCGCCCAGGTCATATAACCGTGTCCTTTCTTTCCCCATCGTCTCCCCCAGCGATGAACCTCTCCTTCGGCCTCACCGTCCTCGGGAGCCAGCCGGATCCGTGGACAATGCCACCCAATCTGTCCTTGTCGGGACAGCTGAACAGGAGCCAAGGGTTGGGTTGGGCTGAGGTGGAGAAGCTGCTCTTCCTGTTCGACGAAGATCCGGTCATCCTCAGCCTCGCCGTCCTGTATTTGGCGTCCTTCTTGGTTGGGTTGGTGGGCAACGTCATGTCGCTCCGGATGCTGACCCGGAAACGGAGCAAGGCCATGCCCAGCTTGAATGCCACCCGCAGCCTCCTGATCAACTTGGCTATCTGCGACCTGATGGTGGTTTGCATCTGTATGCCCGTCACGACTGGGAACCTGATCTACAAAGCCTGGGTCTACGGAGATTTGCTGTGCAGGGCGGCCCCATTCATTCAGGCTCTCTCCGTCTCAGCCAGCATTCTCAGCCTGACGGTGATCAGCCTGAACCGCTATTACAACGTACACAACCCTCTGAAGGCCAGGTCCTTCTTCACCCGGAGGAAGATCTTGTACACCATCCTGGTTATTTGGGTCTTCTCTTCAGCCATCTGCATGCCTCTCGTGTTTATGAACCGGAGAGAGGAGATCGAGGTGGGCTCCGATCTCCCGTTGGTGTTCCCCATTTGCCGGGAAATGTGGCCCCAGGAAGAGCTCAAGCAAAGCTACAATTTCTTCCTCTTTTGTGCTCTCTACTGCTTGCCGGTCTCCTTCAACGTGGTCATTTGCTACTTGACCGTCCATCGGCTCTGGAGACCCACCAGCACCCTGAGTGACAGCAGTGCCTTGAAGCAGACCTTGCTAGCTTCCAGGCTAAAGATCCGCCGGACGGTGGCTCAAATGGTCATTGCCTTAGTCCTGCTCTTTGCCATTTCCTGGCTGCCCATTTACCTGGTGGACATCTGGATAGAGTTCCACAGCCCCAGGTCCTTGAGGGATGAAGAGCCATCTCCTTTGGTCCTGCATCTGCGGGCTTTTTCTCAATGGCTTAGCCTCACCAACTCCAGCTTGAACCCCATCTGCTACTGTTTTGTGGGCAGCCTCTACAGATCAGCCAAGGAAATGAGGAGCAGGTACCAAAAGAAGGTGGCTTCTCTTCTCAGCTTCTTCCCCTCCGAGATGCTTTCTCACAGGAGGTCGGTGGACTCGGCTAAAAAGGAACCTGACCTAGCAACACGAAAAGAAGGCCGCCACAGCTGCAGTAGTCTTGTCTAAGATAATCTTATGTATCAACTAGGGATGACCAAGAGTGTGTGAGCGAAGAGCCACCTTCCTCCAAGGGTTGAAGTTTCCAACTGTGCATCTTCCCTTGATGTGAGCAGCTCCCTGAAGCTGGTAGAAGAGAATATTCGTAGCTCAGAGTTGAACTGTGAGGTGCTTTGATGCCCTCTGGGCTTGGTGGATTTTTTTCCCCAGACATTTTGTGACCCAACTAGAGGACATCATCAGTACTAGAAGGGAGTGGGGTTTAAGAATGGTGGGGAAGAAGGGAGGAGAAGGAGATGGAAGAGGAGATGGAGGAGGAGAAGGACTGTAGGGTCCTTGAGGCACTCTGAGTTTGGTTGTTTCCTTGCAAACATTTCATGACCCAACTAGGTAACATCATCAGTGCTAGAAGGGAGTGGAGTTTGCAGAGAGGAGGGGGGAGAAGAGAGGAGGAGGAGGAGGATTGTGGGGTCCTGCCTTGATGCTCTCTGAGCTTGGCTGTTTTCTTGTGGACATTTCATGACCCAACTACGTAACTTCATCAGTGCTTCTTGAAGGGAAAACAGTAAGTAGAGGACAGAATCTGAACTCTTGCAGAGATGATATGAGCCCCATCATTCTCAATTTTAACAGTTAACTGCAAGATTTTGGAGTCTTTCCAGGAACCAAAGCACCCCAAGGAACATTTTTGGTGTCAAAGCCATTTTTCTCCATGTTCATCTTTTACAGCCCCTTTTAAACGCCCAAGTGCATTGCATTCCTGCAAATTCAATTTACACTGTGGATGTCTTCGGGCTGCAAGCAGATAGACACTTAATTCCATTATCACATCAAATTAGAGTTAAAAGGCAGGAGGAAAATGACAGTGCTTTTTACCCTTACTCAGAATCAAGTGCTCCCGGTATGAATTCTTGCAATATATATATATATATATATTTTCTAGGAAAGAAATTTTTGGATAGAAAGCAGGTTGGGTTGTCTCTCTTTAGGGGAATGAGGAAAAGGCTATTGTAGAATTAAATGTATAGTTTTGGGGCAGGGGTGAAATTTAGCAGGTTCTGACAAGTTCTGGAGAACCGGTAGTGGAAATTTTGAGCATTTCGGAGAACGGGCAAATGCCACTTCTGGCTGGTCCCAGAGTGGGGTGGGAATAGGGATTTTGCAATATCCTTCCCCCAGGAGTGGGGAGGGAATGGGGATTGTGCAGTATCCTTCCGCTGCCACGCCCACCAAACCACGCCCACCAAGCTACGCCCGCAGAATCAGTAGTAAAAATATTTGGATTTCACCAGAGTAGAACTGAGGCACCCTTGTAGGTCCTGCTGCCTGAATTATGAGATTTCAAGAACTTCTTGGGTTTTGTTGTTGTTGTTTTTATTGGCATTTTGTGTATTAATCTCATGCTTATTATTATAGCTGCTTGGAGTCTGCAGAAATAATGCCAGTCACAGTAACAGATAAATCAATCAATAAATAAATTCCCTTTCTGGGGGAGGTGATACCTGCAGTTTCTCCCTCTGTCTTACTTCTGGCTCTTTGTCGATAACTCATGACCTTACAAGGAAGCCTTGGTGGTGCAGCGGACTAAAGTGCTGTTAAGTAACACTTAGCTGCCAGCTGCCTGCAATTACTGCAAGTTCAAATCTCACGAGACTCAAGCTGGGGTGACTTTGAGCCAATCACTAGGAGATGGTGAATTCTAGTCCTGCCTTAGGCATGAAAGACAGCTGGGTGACTTTGGGCCAATCACTAGGAGACGGTGAGTTCTAGTCCTGCCTTAGGCATGAAAGACAGCTGGGTGACTTTGGGCCAATCACTAGGAGACGGTGAGTTCTAGTCCAGCCTTAGGCATGAAAGACAGCTGAGTGATTTTGGGCCAATCACTAGGAGACAGTGAGTTCTAGTCCAGCCTTAGGCATGAAAGACAGCTGAGTGACTTTGGACCAATCACTAGGAGACGGTGAGTTCTAGTCCAGCCTTAGGCATGAAAGACAGCTGAGTGACTTTGGTTTAATCACTAGGAGACAGTGAGTTCTAGTCTTGCCTTAGGCATGAAAGACAGCTGAGTGACTTTGGACCAATCACTAGGAGACAGTGAGTTCTAGTCTTGCCTTAGGCATGAAAGACAGCTGAGTGACTTTGGACCAATCACTAGGAGACGGTGAGTTTCTAGTCCTGCCTTAGGCATGAAAGACAGCTGGGTGACTTTGGGCCAGTCACTCTCTCTCCCCCTAACCTAATTCACAGGGTAGCTTTGGTGGGGGAAACTAGGAGGAGGAAGGAATATTGTGTGTCTTCGGTGCCTTGAATTATTTATAAAAATGATAAAGGCAGGACATAAATAAAGAAATAAACATAAATAAACAGCTTCTCCACCTGCTAACCCTCTTGAGACCTGGGATAATGAAAAAAGACAAATACTCAAGAGTTTGCGGTATATGCGCGAATGCCAATCAAACGCTAAATCTCCCTGCCACTCCAGAGACCAAGGAATGGAAACTCCAGAATCTGGAACTAATGACCCGAAAAGAAATGAAAGGGACATACAACACTGAAGTTGTCAGTTATGTGTTAATGTCCCGTGATAAAAGCTAGGATGTTGACGTGAATCAATCTCTTAACTTTCTCCCCTGCAAACAAAGCTCAAGGACATTAAAAAGCTATTTGCTGAGTGATGGAAATGGAATCGTGTTTGGTTTCCCATGAGACTCAAATATTGTCTCCCAGATATTTTGACATCTCGGGCAAGTGCAGCAGGACGGAAAGACCCACACTCAAAACTGGAAGATGATACAGCATCTGTCAAGTCAGCTGCCATCAAACAGGTCTTGTGGTCCGCCAGTAGCCTGCGGACATGGCAGCGGAGTCAGACAGTGAGGAGGCAAGGGAGGAACATGGGCCAGTCCTGGAGTCTGGGGAAGGCCCGGACGAGGGCTCTGCATCGGAGGCAGAGATGGGGCCAGGGCCATCTGGGAGTGATGTGCAGACTCCGGAGCCTCCAGAGGCAGACAGCAGAGAGGCAGAGGAACAGGAGGAGCCTGTTCCTAGTGCACGCATGCGCAAAGTTGCCAGAAGGCAAGAGCAGATAAAGCAAAAGGGACGACTTGGGAGTAAGGCCAGGAGATTATTTGCCCCTCCCATTTTTCACAAAAAGAGAAACAAAGGCACTTGGGGCCTTTTGCAGGAAAGCAACGTTGCTAACTCTGTTTCCAGTCGGCATCTCTTGTTTGTTTCTGAACTCCATGGGGCTTTGCCAAGTAAGGCCTTTGGCAGGGTGTCAAAGAAGATAAAGGTTGGTGATTATCCCGCAGGACTTGTTTTGCAACTAATTGGGACTCAGCTGGGAATGAACATAATTCTCAGCTGTTACAATAAAATAGGTTTGTTTGGGACTAATTGTGTCTTGTAATGACTCAATAAGCCTAGGTCACAACAACAGGAAAGAATCAAGAGGAAGAGACGCCACTCTTGATAAGGGTCTGATAGTAATATTAGTATTCCTGTTGTTGGTTTTGCGGTCCAGACTGCCTCAAAGGCCTAGTGCAGGGGTCAGCAACCTGTGGCTCTGGAGCCGCATGTGGCTCTTTCACCCCTCTGCTGTGGATCCCTGTCACTCAAAATATGTGTCAGAACCGCCAATGTGCGACACTCACCGGCACGCGATTTATTGAGCTTTTCAACCCCCGGTAGGCCAACCATGGATAAATCCAAGAAAAGAAAAATTTCAGAAAAAAACAGAACATTTAATTCAACTACATAGGCTAGTTTTGTGGCCGCTCGAGAAATAGTCAGACACGGGAAGGGTTTTGTGGCTCCCGGTGTTTTCTTTTCTGTGGGGAACGGGTCCAAATGGCTGTTTGAGTGTTTAAGGTTGCAGACCCCTGGCCTAGCCAATGCATAATAAAAAAAAAATAAATTTGAAATGTTCCTCCTGTATCCTTAACCGATTTCTCTACAAATCAAGCAAGATAAACAACAAGCAAGAATTGTAACCCTTTCATTCTCACACACACAAAAAAACCGAGATCTGGTAAAGTCACCTTAAGAGTCCTAGAAGAACATATTGTCCAAATGCGCCCTCTTGTGGCGAGAGGTGGAGGTTCTCCACTGGTTGGCAGAGTTCTGGATATATAATTAGCCCTTTGCCAGTCTTTCCATCCCTCAGATTTCACACAATGCCCAGGATATTCATGAATCTGCCATCCAAAGCAGCCGGGGAAAGCTTGTCACCTCAAACCTAGTTTGTTTCTGAACAATGAAGGAATGGCCAACAAACCGCAATTATCACGACGTTGGTCTTTCTGGATACAGAAAAAGCAAGCGGCTTAACTAAATATTATCTTTCTAAAAAAGCTGCTGGCAGAAGGAGATGAGAGCATTCACAATGACGAAGCTTGGAGAAAATGGTCCCCTCTCTGATATTTACATGGCTCAAACCATTGTGCTGATCAGATGCCCCTGGAAGAATTGCAGATGCTGATCAGAAGACGCTTCCTGGGTGTAGAAAGAAGGGCCCTGATGCCATGCGCTGGGCTTGGGCAATCTGGAACTGCACCTAAGCATAGTACACAAAATTGTCTGCTACAATGTCTTACCTGTCAACGACTTCTTCAGCTTCAACCTCAATAATACACGGGCAAACAATCGATACAAAAACTGAAGGTAAACCGCTCCAAACTCGATTGCAGAAAATACGACTTCAGCAACAGAGGGGTCAACGCCCAGAGTGCTCTACCTGATTCCGTTGTTACATCCTGTACATCCTCACAGTTTCAACCTTAAACTGTCTACCGTGGACCTCACCCCATTCCTAAGAGGTCCGTAAAGGGGGCGTGCATAAGCGCACCAGCGTGCCTACCGTCCTATTGTCCCCATTTATCTGTACTTATTTCCTTTGTTTATGTTTATACTTATACCTACTATCTTGTATGTTTGACAAACAAACAAACAAACAAAAACAAATGTATGTATGGGGATTTTGCAATATCCTTCTCCCAGGAGTGGGGAGG